ACATTGTAGTTGAAAAAAATTGTGGATCAAATAAATTCAGAAAAATACCTTGTAAGAGGAGGGACTTACATTCAAACTCAGGTCTGTCTAGAGTCTTTATTTGAAACCATTTTAGTGTATTGACCATGAAAAATAAAAAAAAATTAAACTGAATTAAAAACATAATGGCCTCGGATGAAAAAGAATTTTAAATACGTGGTTATGGGAGAAAGTTTATAAATGTCTCTAATTTCTACAGGAAAATAAAATCATAAATATGTTTTCCCTTTAAAACTGAAAATCAGTCATAAATTAAAGTGCTTACCAGCTAGATTTCGAAACCTTTTAAGAATAAGGTATTCTTTTGCTTTGATTGAACTCACTGTTTTCACATTTCTGACACTCCAGAAGCAGAAATTCTGGGACAACATAATTTTTTTTCTCCTACCTGCTTTGTCTTAAAGTTGTCTTGAATTTTTCAAGCATTTTTATGTGAGTGCAGAAGCCACAAACCAGTGGCTATTCTGGATATTAATAATAACTTGTTAATTTAATTAGATGGCTAAGAATAAATTCATTAGGCTTTCCTCAAATATTCGATGTGATGAAAAGAATAGTTCTTTTTTTATTTTATTTTATTTGTGAAGATACTGTACAGAGGGGTTACAATTACATGGGCAGGATAATGTGTACATTTCTTACCAAGCATTGCAGCCTCCTCCTTTTGTTTACCCTTCACATCCCTTCCCAGCCTCCCCCCTCCCCCCCCAATCCCAATCTTTCTCCTCCCCCCCCACCCCCCGCACCAACGTTGTAAAGCTCGTTTTGGACATGACAACTTGTACTTCTCATTGTTGCAACAGGTCCACCTGTATCTTAAACAACTGGTTTTTCCCCATCTCCTCCTCAAGTTATACTGACATCAAATATAGTGAAAGCAGGGGTTATACTGTGGGGGAGGGACATACAAAGCAACAAAGAGATAATCTTATAAATGCATTAGAAACACATGCATGAAAGAAAAAAACATTAAGATACATATCTAAGGGTTCATTTTCCTGACATCACATTATCTGACCTTTAAAAGAATAGTTCTTAAAAGCTTAACTTCTCACTAAGGCATTAAGGCAACTGTCATACTTTTCCAACTCTGAAGTTCTTAATATTTAAATACAGAATCCTGATAATGTGTTTTCTAAAATCAAGACATAATGAAATATTTTTTGCTATAGTTCCTGTTCTGTTTTACTAAAGCACTTTTTACATGGAAATAACTAAATGAAGGTAAATAGGACAAATTATTCTACACAATGATGAAAATGAACCAAAATTTTATATGCCATATATTTACACAATGTGTCATTCACCATTAAAAAATAAGAGTGTGTCAAAATTCACTTAATCATGTTTCTTCCCTAGCTAGATGAAATTTTACATATTTGGAATACAAATACATTTGACACTGTGATGTAAAAAAGCATCCTTTGGAATTCCATATAAGATGCTTTCTTGGGGGATAATATGGCATTATTAGAAGTTATTTATGATAGAATTGTTCAAATGCACAAATGGGTTTGCAAAAGTGTTACTAATATTTTTACAAATGATTCTAATAGGAAAAGAAGGGAATTTACCACAATGCTCATTAGTTAAATAAATTACACTGTGCAATTTTAATGTTCATTAAAATTGCTAATTAGATATAATTGACATGGGAGGATATTATATATTACTATGACAGTTATGATTGAGGGATTAAATGTATTGGCATAGAAAGCTGTGAGTACACAAGTCAAATTTACTAAAAAGAGCCACATATGCATTCATTTATCAGTCTACATGTGTAGAGAAATTGTTTGAAAAAGAGGTACCAAAGTGTCAGCAACAAAACTTCTGGTTTTGTATAAAACCAGAGCACATGGAGTCTCTGATTGAAATATATTTTACATTAATAAGATTTGTTTTGTTTGTGTTTACTTCTGTTTTCCAATGTGAAATTCTATTCCTTGTGTGAAGAAATAATAAAAAATTTAAAACAACATCATGTAAGTTTTTAAGGCAGTTTCTTACACAATTTTACCATTAGGGACTAGAAAAGTTCATTTTAAAATACTGTATTTGTCTTAGAAAATTTGGAAGGAACTAATCCCTCTTGTTGAAATAGTTCATGGTCAAGGTTAGTGGTCTAAATACTGGCATTGGTTCATTTCAGAACATTTGTTTTATTATTAGATAATTACAAAAATATGGTTTTCATCTTAGAAGTTCCTGGAAAAGTAGAAAATTCTCTGTAGTGGGAGGCAAGAGATCCCAGTTCAGCCGTTGCCACTAATTTTCTGTGTGAATTTGGAAACTTTACTCTCCTTTTTTTGGCCTTGGTTTCCTCATAAATAACTGAACCAGAGTTTAATGAACTTTAACAGCTCTAATATTTTAGGAATCGATAATGCATCTAGAAGCCAAGCAGTCTTTAGAAAACTCTGTGAGAAAATAGGCTAAGAAAAATAAATTAAGCCCAGACTTTCTAAAATATTCTTTAGAGGCTTCTAATTCTCAACTCACATTGGTCCTTATTGGTATTTCTCTCCATTAATTTTTAATGAGATTTTAAAACCAATTCTATTAAATGTCAAGCTATTTGAATGTTGTATACTTATGACACCTGCTGGTCGCATCAAACATCACAGCTAATTTCTCATTTCTAATCCCCCTGACATTCCTTTCTACTGGTTCTCTTTCTCTAAGTGAAACCATTTTTTCTGTTCCAGATTCATTTGTTTATCATACAACTATTTAACCAACAAACACTGAGTTGACCCTTGATATATTCAGGACACTTTACTAGACCTCGAAGTAAAAGAATGTGTCTTTGATATGTTAAGAGGAACAAATTAGACTCCCTGGAAAGGAATGTAATCATATCATGCTGGGTGTGTTAAGCACACTTTTCTGAAAAAAAAAATGAACTACAAATATTCTGAAGCCAGAGAATTGATTCGTATGTTTCAGAAGTCAGAAAAGGCTTCATGGAGGAAGTGAGCCTTGCCTTTTTTTTGGGGGGGGCTCTCTGTTATCCCATGTATGAAATAGCCATATTTCACACATTATTGTTGTATAAGATTGCTGCTGCAGATTGGTAGAGAGAGATAAAGTACTTAACATGATACCTGCCAATAGTAGATATTCAGTGATTGTTAATCATGCTATAACAAAACTAGAAATGATCATGAGTATTAATCATTCTTTAACATTATGTCAGGGACTAGTTTTGGTTCTTCCTTGTGTGTCCTTTAAAATTTTAGACTCAATATAGATAATATAATAGCAATGATTTCAGCTAGTCCAATGGATAAGCTATGAAAAGGTGATCAATAGTTTCCTAGACTAATTGGAGAAGTTGGCATCAATCAACTCAGTGAAAAGAATAAATCACTCAAAAGTAGCTGCCTGCATGACCTGGTTGCTTGATTGAAGTAAACTGCCTGTTCAGTAAATAGTCTGAGAATTTCATATCGTTACTGTGAAAGCATCAAATAGTGTGCTCAGCATCTGGAATGCAGATTGGTTGACTGTATTTTTACCATTATTTTTTAATTGGCTGCATTTAAATTTGGGTAGAAGTTGTCTTAGACCTTATCTGGTTTTTCAAACTCATGTTTCAAGAGTTGTCACAAAATAGGTATTAACTTTTGCACTTAAGTACTAAGTAGTGAACAATAATATTGCCTCTTTTTTCTTCTCATTCCAAAAAAGTGCTCAACAAACTGCCTTTGAAAGTAACAAAAAAGTAATGAAGTATTAAAATATAATTTATCCATTTGTTTCTGTATTCAGAAGTATAAATTATATTTCTTAAAATGTCAAACATTTAGTAGTTGAACTTTCATCTTTAGGGGTAAAATAATTTGTACTTTAGTGGCATTGGGCCAAAAACAATAATGTTCTGACATTAAACAAACCCAAGAACAAGGACCATGACATATTAGGATTGAGTTTTTAACCAGGATAAGGAAGACTTCAGAGAAGACATGATTGTTATCTTCAGATGTTTGAAGAGCTTTTATGTACAACAAGGAGTAGAATATTTTATCTGACACTGACAAGAATAACTAGAATGAAAGATCAGGGGAGCATATTTTTAAATCACTAAAAAATATTCTGAAAATTAAAATTGTAATTGTTCACCTTGATAGCATTTTCATAGAGTTGTTCTGTGAGCGGAAGTGGGAAAAGCTCCTTTTTGCTTCATCAATGAATGAGCAGATACTTTCTAGTCTTTTATGTATTCTGGTAATGGCACCAAGTGGTTACAAGGATATTCCCAAGGACAGTAGAGTTGCCATATTATTGTTAACAAATACAGAACTTTAGTCAAAGGAGCATTAGAAAAGTGCTATATCAACAGGGCCAATTTTGCCTTTGTCTAAGAGGCAAAAGTTATCTGAATAGTACTTTCAAACCCACATGTTTCCAAGGCCTGATAAACTGCCAATCCTTATCTTGACCACTATTCCATGTATCATTGATAAAAGCTCATAGAGCTACCTGAGCAGCTACCCATTCATTTATAAGTAGCAACTGTAAGATTTCGTTTTCCCAAGGATGATGATACAGGCCCCAGTAAATCTCAAAACGTTGAGTAATCACTGGACACAACTATATGATGGAAACTAGGAACCTTAAAGAGTGATGGAATATATGTGTGAGGGTTATTTTCCAATGAGATCTTGTCTATTGGTTAGTTCTACAGGTCAGATTAATTGTTTTTCAAAGGAAAATTTAACTTAAGTGGTTGCCAACACATCCAATCTTGATTCCTGAAAATATTGTCTTTGCTACTATGATTGCTTTGGAGATTGATATGCTAATTTTTATTTTACATAGTTAAGACGCTGGATTTCACAAAAATGCACACTTGAATGCTTCTATGGTAGGAAAATCTTATTTCTATATATGTAAAACATGGACTTGTGATATATGTGAACGTGCCCTTGATGGTGTTTTCCCTCTATTTTCTGCAGAAACCATCACTCTAATGCTTTTCATAAGGAAGAAAATGGGAAGTAACAGCACAAACAATACGAGGGCAAAGTGCACTGATTTTCAAATGCCTTTTCAGTACTCCCTCTATGCGACCACCTACATCATCATCTTCATCCCTGGTCTTCTGGCCAACAGTGCAGCCTTGTGGGTTCTCTGTCGCTTCATCAGCAAGAAAAACAAAGCCATCATTTTCATGATCAACCTCTCTGTGGCTGACCTTGCCCACGTGCTGTCCTTACCCCTCCGGATTTACTATTACATCAGCCACCACTGGCCTTTCCAGAGGGCCCTGTGCCTGCTGTGCTTCTACTTGAAGTATCTCAACATGTATGCCAGCATTTGCTTCCTGACATGCATCAGCCTTCAGAGGTGCCTCTTTCTCCTCAAGCCATTCAGAGCCAGGAACTGGAAGCGTAGGTATGATGTGGGCATCAGTGCTGCAATCTGGGTCATCGTTGGGACTGCTTGTTTGCCACTCCCCATTTTGAGAAGCGCTGGGTTAGACAACCACACTGAATCCTGCTTTGCTGATTTAGGCCTTTACCATATTAGCATGGCTTCCTCCATTGGCATGGTAACTGCTGCTGAACTTGGAGGGTTTGTGTTTCCTGTTGCAATTATTACTTACTGCACCTGGAAAACAAGAAAATCTTTGCAAGAATCTCAAGTTCCACCTCAGAATACCAAAGAGAGGAAAAAGGCTTTGAGAATGGTTCTGATGTGTGCAGTGGTGTTCGTTGTATGTTTCACGCCATACCATCTCAACTTTCCTTTCTTTATGATGGTGAAGCAAGATATGTTCTCAAACTGTTCCTTTACAAAGACCACCCTATGCTTCCACATCATTTCCTTGTGTCTCGCAAATCTGAATTGTTGTCTTGATCCAGTTGTATATTATTTTATGACCTCAGAATTTCGTGATCAATTTTCAGAACACAGTGGCTTGGTTCTTCAGTCATGTGTGAGATGTAGGGACAGTGCTTTGGAAATTCATCAGAGAAAGGATGATCTTCAAACAATCTCTCTTGAATGTTTGGATGATTCCAATATAATGTAATCAAAAAATTAGCAAGAATAATCTATATGCGTTATTGGTGTAGTTATGTCATTCTTAAGATTTTTCTTTTAAAATGATGATGCTAGTGTGTGTTAAGAAAAAAATGACCCATACTCCACACCATAAAAATGATCCTCTGAAGGATTTACCCACGCCAATATCATGTCTAAATGGAAGTGAATTTTTCTATGGACTTAATGAAAAATATATTTCATACCTAAGGGGATGAGCAACAGAATGGATTCATCTTTACCCAAGAGAAATGGTATGTCAATTGAAGACTAGGTGACACAAGTGAGTTATACAAACACTGAAAAATATAATATATGTCAGAATAATATGACCCTAATTATATTCAGGAAATATATGCTTGAGCTGATTCAATTAGAAAAGCCCATTTGAGATTAATATATTGTGGGAATTCATATCTTTATAACTTGAAATATCTGTGAATCTTTCCTTTTTCCTCTTTGTAGAAACAAACAATTCAAACGTACCTTAAATATCTCCAAAGTACCATGGAATTCACCCATAACACATAAACCTTAAGTATAAAATAAAATTATGTTCTAAAATGCTTTATGAACTTGAAATTAGCTTAAAATAAACCCTCTTTGTTTGGACGCCAGTGAGTGTGTGTGAAGTGGTGCATGTTTTTATATACTGGCACTAATTCAGAAAATGTTTTGTTATATTTGCTCATCAAAATCAATGGTTACATTCTTTGCTTAGTTTGATTGCTTCATATACAATTCAGACATAAACTGGTACATTAAAATCAGTGAGTTAGTCAGATACTGGTGGCTCAAACCTGTAATCATAGCTACCCAGGAAGCTGAGATCTGAGAACTGTGGTTAAAAGCCAGCCGGGCAAGAAAGTGTATGAGACTATATCTCCAGTTAACCACCGATAAGCTGGAAGTAGAAGTGTGGCTCAACTGGTAGAATGCTAGCCTGGAGCAAAAAAAGAAAAAAAGAGCTCAGTGACAGCAAACAGTGCCTGAGTTCAAGTTCCAAGTCTGGTGCACACCACACACATACACACACACACACACACACACACACACACACACACACACACATCAATGTTAATGGTGTTAATCATTTTCCAGTTAAAAAGTCCAGTCAGAACTTATTTTTCACCAGAAAAGATAATGTTGATGGGTTGAATCCTATTATAAGTAGAGAATGAAAATTATACTTTTAAAAGTCTCTGTGGTTATATCATTTTGTGATACAAGTCTTCCTGTATCATTTTTGAAACTGAAAATTATATGTTGGGTTTCATTAAAATTCCAATGTTAAAAACTCTGATAGTTTAAAAAATGTATAAAGACTTACTATCTAGCAAGTATAGGATTAGAAACTCACTAAATATATTATTTGTGTGATTTTTGTAACAATGAAGTCTTATGCAAACAAAAGTAGATAATATTTAGCACTTAGGGGGCATGGTATTCGAAAACAAAACATTCATGTAGACACAAAGGATCATGGCTTTAATTTTAGGTATGTCTAGGGAAGTTATGAAAGTTAGAGTAAGTTATTTCTCTCTGGGCTTTAGTATTATTTTATGGGGATTTGCCAAGATTGGATAAATAAATATATGTTTTAGAATGTGATTTCTATACACAAAAGCACTTTACAAATGTGTGCTCTTGTTAGAATTGGTATTCATGTTATTATTTAAGAAAGCTATCAGTTAGTGTGCTCGTCAAAATCAACAAGGGTTATCTCTATAAACATCAAAGCATTGTATACATTGCTTCTCTTAGGGCTATTGAAACCTCTTTGTACATACCTTAAAATGACCTCATTGAATTTTAGTTCTCTTTTGTTATGTATAGTACTATATGTTTAGCTTTTCAAGCTATCAATACTCAGTCTTTGCCACTGTCTTTAGAACTGTTTTAAGTAGTCTATCTTTTTGATTTGTTCTTCCTAATTTTCTGTGGCTTTCAAAACACATGAATCAGACAAGTTAGGAAAGAGTTTTAACTCTAAAATATGAATAAAAGCCTGCTTATTTTATTTTATTTGGATAGGATGTCTGCTGGAAAAGGAAAATCTCCTATGGAGCAAAGTGTATGAATTGAAGTTTATGGATATTATGACATCTATTTTGGCAATTGAGGACTATTTTGCTTCCTTCCTGGCTCTGTCAGCTGTGTTTAGATAGGTGGGGTTGCCAGATATTTGAGTTCCAGTGCACTGAGGTATGATTAGCTGTTTTTGACACCTAGAATTTCTTAGAACATAAACATTGTCATATATATGTATATATATATATATATAAATGTGTGTACAATTAACTTTTCAAAAATAGTTACTTATTATATCAAGAAGTAGTATATTTGAAACTATTTCAATGCTCTTACTGAGGTAATTTTATATTTGCCACAATGCTCTTAAGAAAACATGTGTTCACTTTGGCTGTTGCTTCCTTCCTCTTTAGGAGTGCTTTGCAGACATTCCCCTATGCATTTAAAGTTTTGAGAAACACTAATTCATTTTTAGAAATTGGCCTGTTTTTTATCATGAATAATGAACATTATCCATTAGGTTTAGAGACACACAAAAAAGGTCTGGCTTTCAGAATTTCTTGAAGTAACCAGAATTCTCCAGAAATCTGTAATTTAATCTTACTTCTAGAAGAGATTTATGAAGTCACCTTGATCAAGTATTTCTGGAGCCAAATATACAACCCCATTTCTCTATTCTTTGCTTCCCAAAACACAAGTGAGAAAGAATTTTAAAAATAGTATTATTGCTTCTACAGATGTGACTGATCGATACTAATTAAGGTAGATTCTAGTCCCATATGTATGGTTTTTTAAAAATCTGTGTAATCTTGTACAAGACATTTTATCTTTTTGAACCTGATTATATTTAATGAGTTCCCCTTTCTGCTTTACCAGGCATGGTAAGCTCCAGTAAGAAATACAGAGAATGCTTTAAAAATCATGTAATTGTACGTACACAGTAAAGGGTTGTATTAAAAATGAAATCAGGGTGGTAGGCACTGGTGGCTCATGCCTATAATCCTAGCTACTCAGGAGGCTGAGATTTGAGGATTGTAGTTTGAAGCTGACCTGGACAAGAAAGTCTGCGAGACTTTTATCTTTAATAAGCTACTCAGAAAAAAACAGAAGTGGCTCTGTGGCTCAAGTGGTAGAGTGCTAGCCTTGAACACAAAGAGGCTCATGGACAGCTCCCAAGCCCTGAGTTCAAGCCCCAGGACTGGCAAAAAGAAAAAAGAAAAAAAATGAAATCAGGGAAAGTAGACAGAGTGCCATCCTGAACTTCTAATAACACAGTGCATATTAGGAAATATTCTGACAACCTATTAACATCATAGAAAACATGAAGGTTTGAAGCTTGCAGTGCTCAAGGTTGGAACAGCATTGACTGGTGCCATTATTTTTTTGTTATTGTGGGGCCTTGGCTCTGGGCACTGTCCCTGAGCTCTTCAGCTCAAGGCGAGCACTCTACCACTTGAGCCACAGCACCACTTCCAGTTCTCTGGTGGTTAATTGGAGATAAGTCTCACGGACTTTTCTTCCTGGGCTGGCTTTGAACGGTGATCTTCAGACCTCAGCCTCCTGAGTAGCTAAGACTATAGGCATGGACCACTTGTACCTGGGGACTGGTACCATTTAAGGGTAACAGAAAGAACCATTTATTGATAATACTATCATAAGTTCCTTGGATCCAATCCTCCAGAAGAAAGAGTTGTGATACAGGTCAAAGATCTCTGACAAAATCAAATATCAGGGCTTGAACATAGCTTTACAAAAACAACTGATAACCAATAATGTATAGTCATTGTCCTCTGCAGATAAATTGTGCATATTGCAAGCATGTTCTTCAGAACTTTGGGAAGAAATAGATTTGAGACAAATCTAGAGGAACATATTATTGTAAAGAGGAGAGATGGAGGGGTAGTTTACTAACTAGCGTTGTTTGAACATGGGTAGACTTGTTGGGAGACCTTTAAGTATTAAATAGTTAAATCACTATTGTTCTTATAGTTCTTGGACAGATTATATGTATCAAATAATCAAATATACACGAATATGAACTATGTAAAACTTCAGTCTTTCGCATATAATTGAACATGATTTTTACTTCTTTCTTTTCTCGAACTCTTTTCAATGAAACCACAGCATATTTATTTTGTTCTTTGACAGATTAAATTTGAACCTAGTTTTTACAGGTAAGACATTAGTAGTTTCTTTCGACTACTAGATTCATTAAGGCTTTCAGATTTCTCTATTTTTATGGGCTGAAATTATAATTTAGTTCTCTTGGCATCATGTAAATGGAAGATGCTCAACAAATTCTTTTTTTATTTTATGTGTTTTTTATTGTAAAAATACTGTACAGAGGGGTTAGAGTTATATGAGTAAGGTAATGAGTACATTTCCTATCGAGGGGAAAAACAAAGGAGGAGGTAACAAATTCTTTTTAAATGTTTTAGTAGCAGCCCTATATTTTTGCTTTCAGAGCTCAAACACTAACATAAAGAGTAACAAATATCGACAATAAAAAATATCAAAATTATACATTCTGAGTCTCTCTCTGTCTTTAATGGACCGTGGCAATCACTAGGAACTAGGGGCCTAAAAAGGCATAATTAAAATGAATATGTACAATTAAAGTAATTATTTCTTCTAGATTAGTTGAATTTGCTGAATTTAATTAAGACCAAAGTCTGGTTGGTTTTCAGTAACAATATTGCATTAGACTATCATTTTTGTAGTTCTATGAAATATATTTCTAAGCTATGCTTTAAAAAGTGTGTCTGGTACACTATTTCATTTTTGCTTTGTTTTTGTGATTGTTTTTGCTAACAAAGGATCATTTATTTATGCCTTCTTCTCACTAGGGAAGTTGAGATATGAAAAGATGAATGAACAATAAACACAATACCTCATAAGTTCATCTTTCATGTATCTTCCCAGTTTTGTCTTTTTCTTTTCTAGTGAATTCAATAAAGTACTGATCAAAGCAGATGTGTGTGAATTCCATCAAAGTTGTTTCCAACACCACCTTCATACATTGCCTCTTGGAACTAGGAGTCAGCTCTTATTCTTACATTTACTCCAGCAAGAGTTCTAGATTGCTATTCTGAAGGTCACTGTCTCTTTTGGGTCATTCTTCCTTTTGGCTGCATGGTTAGATTCTCATTAAACTTCAATGGTTTTCATCCCACCTGGGGATAAACAAGAAAATTACTGTCCTAATCATATTTTATGTCCCTAACATTTGTGAAACTGTTAGTAGAAGAGCAATTATGGAAGGGAAGAAAACATCACAAAAGAACCAAATATAGATTAGCACCAGGATGAGAGTTGGCATACAGGGTAAGAATGAATTCATTATTGGTATGCTACCTTATAGATTGATTGTCTCCGATCCTTAAATTGTACTTATTATGATCTATATTCCTACTGCAGCTCAACTTCCTTAACATCTACTGAAAATGGCAAGAAAGCAGAGTCCTTGGTATGGCATTTAGTCTAACATAAACCTGTTTTACCCTACTCTGCTTGCACATAAATCAAATTTTCTCACTCTTTGTCAGATACGTCTTGGGCTTTTGCACCTCTGTATCTTCTGACTCCTCTTTCCAGACTATACTTTGTCTTCCTCAGACCACTTTAATCCTAGCTTCTTCTACTTTCGCTGCCACTC